GAAACTCTTTAGAACGGAACTACATTTCCAGCCCACCTGGGCTGTTTTGGGCTATAAATTAGAGAGGTGGTTTCTGCCACTTTTGGACACGATAGGAAAGCCTGACACTTCGTGCCGGGGGAGGTGATTACAGTTTAAGAAATCCAAGCACCCTGAGACCCAGGTTATGAAGAAAGCTAACGCCAACCACTCGATGAGAGGATTGGCCAACTGAGATAACAATGAGAACATCCCAGCCCTAGGTGATGTCACAAGGAACCTAGCCAGCCCTCCTATAAATTGCAGAATTATGAGCAAATAAATGATGGTTGTTGTAGTAAGCCTGTGGTTTTGTTTGTTTTGTGTTGCTATAACAAAATACCTGAGATAGAGTACTTTATAAAGAAAAGAGGTTTATTCACCTCAGTGCTGAGGATCTCAGAGCATAGGAATGACATGGGCTTCTGGTGAGGCCTTCAAGGTGGATAACATCACATGGCAAGAGGGAGAGAGAAACAGACAGAGACAGAGACAGAGAGACAGAGACAGAGAGAAAACCAAGAGAAAATGAGAGCAAGTCAAGAAAGTAGATTTTTATTTTATTTTTTATTTATATTTATTTTTATTTATTGATTTTTATTTTATTTCTTGAAACAGTCTCTAGCCAAGGCTGGCCTTGAACTCCCTATGTAGCCAAGGGTGACCTTGAGCTACTGATTCTCCTACCTCTACCTCTCTCCCATGTGCTTCCACAGTTCATAGGGTACCTGGATTGAACCCCAGGGCTTTATGCATGTTAGGCAAGGACTCTACCAACTGAGTTACATCTCCAGACCTGGATTTGATTTTAATAACCTGCCCTTGGGATAACCAATCCATGCTCATAAAACAGGAATGAATTCCTTCCAAGAATGGTGCCCCCAAAGGTCTAGTCCCTTTCTCTAGACTCCACCTCTTAATGGTCCTATCCCCTTCAATATAGTTCCACTAGGGATCAAGCCTCCAGCTCAACTTTGGTAGACAGACAGACTGTACAGTGGTCTGTAGCTTTGGGGATAATTTGTTACACAGCAAGAAATAACTGAAACATTTGCTGCCTATCCCAAACAAATGGCTGTCTGCTGGGCTGTGGAGAAAGTTGTGAGGTAAACAGGTCAAGAGACACCCTGCCACCTACCACAGCTACAGTAAAATGTAAAGTGGTTGGAGGCTGGAGAGACGGCTCAATGGTTAAGAGCACTTGCTTCCGTAGAGAACCCCCAGGCCCTGTTCCCAGCACCCACATACCCACATGATGGCTCAGAATCACCTGTAATTCCAGTTCCAGGGGATCTGATTTCCTCTTCTGGCCTTCAAGGGCTCCTTCAAACAGGGGGTGTTCATAAACTCAGGAAACACACACACACACACATACATCTAAAATATGCAAAGTGGGCCAGCTTTTGGGTATATGTGATCCAAAGAACACCTTTTTTTTTTTTTTTTTTTTTTTGGTTTTTCGAGACAGGGTTTCTCTGTGTAGCTTTGCGCCTTTCCTGGAACTCACTTGGTAGCCCAGGCTGGCCTCGAACTCACAGAGATCCGCCTGGCTCTGCCTCCCGAGTGCTGGGATTAAAGGCGTGCGCCACCACCGCCCGGCTCCAAAGAACACCTTTTACCCTGACTTGAAAACTCTATCCTTGGATACAGCAAATCTGAGACCAGATGTCACTCATGTCCAATTTCTCATCCTCAGGATGTTGAAGACCCATCTGTTTCCATGTCTTCAGACCTTTGTGTTATCTGTAAAATGTGCTGGGAGGTCTGGAGTCTATGACTATCCAGATAGGTGATTTGTTGTCGTTATTGTTGTTTTTTGTTTTTGTTTTTTCCAGACAGGGTTTCTCTGTATAGCCATGACTGTCTTGGAACTCACTCTGTAGACCAGGCTGGCCTCAAACTCACAGAGATCTGCCTGCCTCTCCCTCCCAAGCGCTGGGATTAAAGGCATGTGCCACCACCACCTACCCAGCCAGGTGATCTTAATAGCCATTTCTACACATGTAAAGATGCCCTACTGTGTTTATGAATTATCTTAGTGTTCTATTGTTGTGAAGAGACACCATGACCACAGCAACTTTTTTTTTTTTTTATTCTAAAGAGGGCGCCAGATCTTGTTACAGATGGTTGTGAGCCCCCATGTGGTTGCTGGGAATTGAACTCAGGACCTCTGGAAGAGCAGTCAATGCTCTTAACCGCCGAGCCATCTCTTCAGCCCCACCACAGCAGCTCTTACAAAGGAAAGTGTTTAATTAGGGCTTACAGTTTCAGAGGTTTAGTCCATTATTGTCATGGCAGGGAGCAGGGTGGCACTCAGGCAGACATGGCGCTGGAGAAGTAGCTGAGAGTTCTGTGTCCAGATCTGCAGGAAGTAGGAAAAGAGAGAGAGTGGGGCCTGGCGGGGACTTCTGAAACCTCAAAGCCCACCCCCAGTGACACACTTCCTCCAACAAGGCCACACCTCCTAATCCTTCTAAGTATTGCCACTCCCTGATGACCAAGCATTCAAATATATGAGCCTATGGGAACCATTCTTATTTAAATCCCACCCAGATGTGAGGATATTCCAAAGAGATACTTGCCAGTGGTGACTACTGAAACAACAGTCCCCAAGAAACTGGAGTTTTATCAGGAATTTTATGCTGGAAGAAGGAACAGGCCGGCACCAAAAAAAGTTGTTTCAAGAGATTTACAACTTGTCAGACCTCGGTGAAGGGAGATCAGAGAAGGGACAATGATGGTGGACAGCACAGCACCTTAGTCAGGGCGCGCACACACACTCACACACACACACACACACACACACACACACACACACACACACACACACACAGGACTTGGGGAGGTGAATGGGGAGTCACCGGATCTTTTTCTTTCTCTTCCCAATGAATAAAATCGCTCCCCCCCCCCTTTTCACTATTATTTTGTTTAGTTGGTCTAAGGTGGGTGAGAGGCTGTGCTTCAGTTGTTAGAACTGCCAAGGCCCAGGCTCTGACTCCAACGACTGTGGTAGCCACTGCATCCAGGCAGGGACTGTTGTTTGTGAACACTCTTTCCTTTAATCACTCACCATGCTGTATGAGGCTGGTCATGTTAGCGTCGGTTGAGAACTGAGGCTGGAAGTCACACAGGGAGAGGCGGAGCTGAACTTGCAGTATCTGCTGCTCCGCAAGCCTGCTGGGGACACAACCTACCCACTCTAAGAGAAGGGTGCCCAGAGACAGTGTCCTGCCTGCAAATCGCAGCCACGCCCCATAGAGTGTGCAAGCCAGTGAAGCGGAACCAACAGCCCTGCCCAGCTCAGCACTGACTCAAGATTCGCCAGAGGGCTCGTGGAGATGGCTCAGCCCACAAAGTGATGACTGTCCAAGCAAGGACCTTACTTCATTCTCTTTTTTTTTTGTTTTTTTTTTCAAGACAGGGTTTCTCTGTGTAGTTTTGGTTCCTGTCCTGAATCTCGCTCTGTAGACCAGGCTGGCCTTGAACTCACAGAGATCCGCCTAGCTCTGCCGCCTAGCTCTGCAGGACCTTACTTCTGATCCTCATCACTCATATAAAAAAAAAGCCTGACTCAGCAGTGTGCAGGTGTCGTCCCAGCACTGGACAGGTAGATACAGGTAGATCCCTCTGGCTTGATGGCCAGCTACCTAGATGAACCCATGAGCTCCAGGTTCAGTGAGAGACCCTGTCTCAAAAAATAAGGTGGTTTGGGGACTGGAGAATTGGCTCAGTTGTTAAAGGCACTTCCAGGTCTTCCAGAGGACCCAAGTTCAGTTCCTAGCACTCACATTTAGTGGTTGAGGATTGCCTGTAACTCCAGGTCTAGGGGCATCTGACACTTGCTTCTGGCCTCTGTGGGCACACACACACACACACACACACACACACACACACACACACACACACACGTACACACGTACACACGTGCGTGAGCGCGCGCGCGCGCACACACACACACACACAAACACACACACACACACATGCACAATCACACACATACAATCATACTAGGGGTTTTCTGGGCTCTGCCTTAGAAAAGTCTTGATTCAGGAGCAATGGGAAAAAGCTCAGAATTACCCAAGTCCCCGGAACGCCTGGCTGCAGAGCTCAGAGGTCGGGGCTGTTGTGTTTCCCACACCCCTGCCAAGCTGTCCTGCATTTCCCTTCTGCACTGACATCTGTGTTTACATCTCCATTCTCTGATTCCCTCACCTGTGGCTCTGGCCAGCTGAGCTGCTCTGTCAGGGCTGTTGACATCACATACCAGCAGTGCAGATGACCTGTGTTTGTTGGGTCTCAGGGAAGTTGCCTAGGACACCTGATGCTGGTGACTGAGGAGGAAGGACAGTGCCTGTGTCTCTAGCCACTCAGTTCTCTGCCCTCAACAGTTCACTCCGTGGAGAAAGATTCTAACTCAGGAGGCTGGGGTCCACTTACGCTAGCTCACAGGAGCCAAGGGGCTTGCTTTTCAGAACTTTTACAAGCTGGCGATCAAACTAGCCACTTAAAGAAGAAGGCAAGAGCAGAGCAAAAGAAGATTACACCACAGGGCTGAGAGGCAGCTTGGACGGTAGGATCAGAGTTTGATCCCAGAACCCCCATAAAAAGAAAGCCAGGTATGGTAGCTCATCCTTGGAATCCCAGGAAAGGAAATAGAGATTCCTAAGATCTCTGGTCAGTTAGTCTGGCCTAGTGGATAAATTCCAGGCCAGTGAGAGACCCTGTCTCAAAAAACAAATTAACTAGCACATGAGGAAAGACAGCTAAGATTGATCTCTGGTTTCCACATACATACACACCCTTGTGCTTACATACTTGTACACATATGTGTCTGTGCATATATATGTGTGTATGTATGTATGTATGTATGTATATATATATATATGAGTATGTGTATATGTGCGTGTTATGCATATGATAAATGAAAGACCATCCTAGGCCATATGTATCAAGATCCTTAAAAAACTTTAAGTTGAATTATGCAGCTATATAATTAAGCTGTCCCAGCTGCCTCTCTTCCATCAGGCTCCAGTAACGCTATGATAGGCAAAAGGCGGTGCCACATACCTGTGTTCCCTGATGAGCCCAGGGAGGATGCTGTGGTTGGCATCCAACAGCTTAATCACAAAGGAGTTCATTCTTGGAGCACTTGGTACCTACGGCTGTGGTGTCACAGGTCATACCACACACTTTGATGGCCCTAGGCAGACATGGCCTCAGCCCCACCCCAGCATCCTCCAGCCTCTGTCCCATCCGAACCAGGATAGTACCTCCAGGCACGGGAGCAGGCATTCTGCTGCAAACCCACTTGCCATGCCTACGAATCTGGAGTCTCATGCAAAGCTGTGACCCTTGCCAGTGCAGCTACTTTGATACATCTCAAGACTGAAACCTTAGAAAATTTTCTTGGTCAAAAATCATTGAGGATCCTCAAATAGACCTAGGGTGGTATAGTTCAATCAGAAGCTGTGGTTCTTTACAAGGGAACTTAGAGAAAAGGTCTCTTTTACTTTCTTTACCAGAGCATGCAAATATGCCAGTGTGTGTGTGTGTGTGTGTGTGTGTGTGTGTGTGTGTGTCTGTCTGTCTGTCGGTCTGTCTGTCTGTCTACCATAGTGGGAAGTGCAGGTGGAGAGAGAAGTTGGAATTACAGCCTGTGGTGGTTTGAAAGAAAATGGCCCTCAAAGGTAGTGGCACTGTTAGGAGGTGTGACCTTGTAGAGTGGGTGTGGCCTTGTTGGAGAAGGTGTGTCACTGTGGAGGAGGGCTTTGAGGTCTCATAGATGCTCAAGCCACACTGGGTATCTTAGACCACTTCCTGTTGCCTTTGGTCAAGATGTAGCTAACACCATGTCTGCCTGCAAGCTGCCATGCTTCGATATGATGATAATGGACTGAACTTCTGAAAATGTAAGTCACCCCAATTAAATGTTTTCCTTTAGAAGAGTTGCCGTGGTCATGGTGTCTCTTCACAGTGACAGAAACCCTAAGGCACAGATCTTTACGTTTTACTTATTTATTTGTGTATGTGGGAAACAACACACGTGTGCCCCACAGATGAGTGCAGGTCAGAGGACAACGGGCTGACCCAACTCGTCAGGCTTGGCTGCGAGTACCTTGACCCGCTAAGCCATCCGAACAGCCCACGGAATCATGAATTTTTAATGACTGATTGAAAGTGCTACGTTTTAGTTCTGGTTCTCCAAGAAGCAGATGCCATGATGGGGCTACACCGGAAAGAATCAGAAGTGACCCTGGGTATGTCGCTGTTTGATTGCATTGCATCCCAGAACTCTAAGTGTCCGTGGGAGCATCCAGAGTGTTGTGCAGACAAAGGAAGACAAATAGTTACAACCGCTGCCATGTCCTTCCGGCACAGAGTGTCCCAAGCCTGTGCTTTGCTCCCTCCCCTTGGTGCCGACAGTCACCAATGGCCTGGACACAAGCCTGGTGGTGGGTTTGAGGGACTTTGACCAGTAGCTGGAGATCTCTGGGGCGTGTTTTAATGCCCATTGAGTTATAGGGGAGCAGAGAGCTTGGAAGGGGTTGGGGAGATGACTCAGTAAAGTGTTTGCCACGCACACAAGAGGACCTAGCCTACCCAAAGGTCTCGCTCTACAGGGACTACCACAAATTTCTCCTTGTAAAGAACCCTGGCGAGTACTTTTCTGTTTGCACCCAACCCACAACAGTTAAGTCTTGAGTTGTCATTGAAATTGCTCAGCTCAAGAGGAGATGCTTATCTATTGTCGATGGTGACAAGTTGGTCTCAAAGGTCCACTCAGCCATGTGACCCTGAGTTTCCACAGTGGGCGGGGGTGTGTGTGTTGGGGGGGGGAGGGGGTATTTTAAGATTGTTTTCGCTGCTCCTTCTTGGCACTCAGTGCCCCAAGCCTGACACTTGGCAAGGAAAAGCCCGTGACTCTGGGGACAGCTGTCGAGTCGCACAGCAAACAAAGGGTACCAGAAAGTTCCTGCTGCCCCCTTCCCACCTGGGCACACGCACATCCCACGGAGGGAGAGTGGCAGGGCTGTGGAACAATGGGAGCCTGTGAGTCATGAGGTAAGGCCGGATGGAGTTTCTCCCGCAAGGCTCCCTCTAGCCGCCGCCGGAGGAGCTGACGCAGGCGGCTGACCGGCAGGCGGCAACTGGAAGAGCCGCTGCTTCCCCGGCTCGCTCTGTGTGGGCCTGGACTTTCTTTTTTATCTTTTTAAGTCAACTTTTATTTTTAGCAAAGTGACAGATATAAACATTTTCAGCAAGTCAGTGTATACTACACAATGGGAAATACCAGCCGCTTTCCTACCTTTTCCCAAACGCCGGTCCCAGAGGCCCTTTGCTTCAAGCTTCCGAGGTTTCTTTCTTCTTCCTAGCTCCCCCGACTTCCAAGCAGCATCCAGCTTCTGTAAAAATTTCCCACGATCATTTCAAAAATATTTATCTATTTAATGTGTATGCGTGTGCCTGAGTGCAGATTTGTACACCACGTGCCTGCAGGTACCTGTAGAGCCCAGATGAGGACGGCAGATCTCCTCGAACTGGAGTTCCGGGCAGTTGTGATATGGGTGCATGGAACCGAACCTGGGCCCTCAGCAAGAGCAGCAAGTGCTCTTAGTCACTGAGCCCTCTCTCCAGCCCTTCCTGCAGTGATCTCTTGTTATTTCAATTTAGTACAGATTCTGTTCTTAGTCAAGACTGGGGTGTAGCTCAGCGACAGAGCACTCACCTGGTGTTGTGAAGCCCTGAGTCCATTCCCCAACATTAAAAATAGACAACCACTTTCCGATTAGACTTAAGGCCTGCTCCACAAGATGAAATTCATACCCAGTACCATTCCATAGCCGACAGCCTGTGGTAGACAGGCCATAGGCCCTGGGGGAGAACATACTATGGTTATTCTGCTAAATGAATAATATTAAGCCAACTCCTAATGACCCATCATTATAGCCAAAGACTAAGGCATCTCTCAGTCCTCATCTGAGAAGTTTGCAGGAGATGGTGATTGACCTCGTGACCTACAGCTGGCCAAGGTGCAGAGAACAAGAGACTGCAGAATGGTCAGCCCTAAATGAAACATCTATGTGCATCTCCTCCCCTAAAGGCAGAGATCTTTGCAGAAGAGGGGCGGGGCGGGGGGGGCGGGGGAGTATTCGAGAGCCAGAGGTGGTGGGTGACCATGAGAAAACTGTCTTCTAGACACAACAGTGCAGATGTACATAGGAATACACAGCTGTTATGACGGCATGCTCAAAGCCCACTCAAGCCCAAGACAGACCCCAGCATGGAGAAGGGAGTTGGTCACAAAATCCCACCCTTAGACAAGGAGCTATTGGCAATTCTTAGTTGCTGGGAAGGGAAGGGTCAGTCTCACCAAGAGTGTAGACCCTGGTAAGTCGGCCATGCTCCAGTGGAAGGCCACACATACGAGGACATTTGGGTGGCACCATCTGACACTGATGTGAGGAGGGAGATGCAAAACTGGGTGAGAAGTCACAGGGTGGGTCTGGGAAGAAGTGGTTGGAGGGGAGTACATATGAACAAAGCTTACTGAACGAAATTCTTAAAGAACAATTAAAATGTTTAAACAAAAGAAAATTCAGCTGGGCAGTGGTGGCACACGCCTTTAATCCCAGCACTCGGGAGGCAGAGCCAGGCAGATTTCTGTGAGTTCGAGGCCAGCCTGGGCTACAGAGTGAGTTCCAGGAAAGGCACAAAGCTACACAGAGAAACCCTGTCTCGAAAAACCAAAAAAAAAAAAAAAAAAAAAAAAAGAAAAGAAAAAAGAAAAAAGAAAATTCAGCGAGGGCTGGTGAGACGGATAAGTAAAGGATCTTGTTGACGAACCTGATGACCTGAGTTCAGTTCAATCTCCGGGACCCACGTGGAGGGAGGAGAAAACTGTCTCCTACAAGCTGCCATCTGATCTACATACACATACACAGTTGTGCACACATGCACATATGCACACACACACACTAGTGTGAATACACACCGGCACACCGGCACACAATCACACAAGAGATTACAGTATAATAAAAAATACAAAACAAAATAAAACAGAAACAAACCCACCAGGAAGTTGTCCCATTGTCTACTCAACATATACACTCATAACTTCTTCAGCCAAGACGGTACGATGTTAATTTATGGTTAGATCATATGAATGTGTGTACTACAAAAAAAAAAACACAAAACCACCACCCCCGAAGTCACGCTCTCTCTCTTCTTTCTTCCAGGACATTTTCTTCTCCTTGTTTTTTCTGTTTGCTTGGATCTGTATGTTCCTCCTCCTCACTCACTCCCCAGTCCTGCTGTAGTTAGTTGTAAAGTTCTTAAAATGGTTATCTATCAGTCCTGTTCATTTTTTCCACATAAATATCTCTTCTGGCCTCTATGAACTTTCTGCTCTCAGCTGGATGGTTACTGTTTGGTACCTAACTGTCCCAGAACAACCCTTCACTATTAACTGGCGATTCCATTAGAGCCTGTTTTCAGAACTCAATGCTTTTGTTTTTCTTTTTTCCTAGTTTGATGGAGCACTCCCTGAAATGATTTTCTGAACAATGATGTAGGGGGGTAAATTTAATTTTTAATTACACCGTGTGTGTGTGTGGGGGGGGGGGGCTGGAGTTGGAGTTACAGGTGGTGTGAGCCACCTGACATGGGTGCTGAGAACTGAAGAAGTCAGATAATCTGGAAGAGCAGGAAGTGCTCTTAACTACTTCCTGTTCTATCTCTCTAGCCTCAAAATTTGTTTACTTTTTTTTTGTTGTTGTTTGTTTTGTTTTTCTCAAGACAGGGTTTCTCTGTGTAACCTTGGCTGTCCCGGAACTCACTCTGACTCAGAGATCTGCCTGTCTCTGCCTCCCAAGTGCTGAAATTAAAGGTGTGCTCCATCACCCCAGCTGATTTATTGTGTGTGTGTGTGTACACGCACGCGTGCGCACCTGTGTGAGCGTGCATGTGTGTGCCAACGTCTGTGTATGCATGACTTGACATCTCCAAAGGGTGTCTTATCCCCTGTTGCCAGTGATGTAGGTTCTGGAAACTGAACTTGAATTTTCTCAAAGAACAGCATGGGACCTTAAACCTCTGAGCCATCTCTCTCCTGTTCTCTACCCTAAATCTTTGAGATAGTTTGGCTGGGTTTCTAATTATGTTGGAAA